GATGAAAGCCACTGCCCGGGTGTCCGCTCCGCGTTGAAGCCCAGTGCAGACGCATCTGCGCGCTTAGCTCATGTTCCAGCTGCTGTCCGTGGTGTGGGCCCCACAGAGCCACGGGCCATGCCGCTTCTAGGGCCACGTGGCAGGCGAGTGTGGGTCATGGAACAAGAAAGAATAGGAGCATAAAGTGGCGAGAGAGAGAAAGTGTCGTTTTCTGGGGATTTTAACCAAAGATTTCTCAAGCTTGCCATGGGCTCCACCCTCCCAGCCCAGTCCATGGCTTCCCAGGCTAGACTGACAGGCAGGCATCTTCCCTGCCTCACCCTGACTTCACTGCACATGCGTCTGTGTCTCTCTTTGCTTTCTTCCTGTCTATATATATAAACGCCTAAGCGACCATTGGACTGTTGGACCATTCAACTGGTAGCTGTGATGCATACTGAACACCAGGGGGCAGACGCTTCAACCGGTAGATTGGCTTGCTACTGAAGTCCGGCTGATCAGAACTGGGCTAGGACTGGACATGCCCTGGAGCCCTCCCACGGTCCCTCCCCAGCCGCTGGCCCAATCAGGGTCCCTCCGCCTGGCCTGCGATCTGGGACCCCTTGGGGGATGTCAGAGAGCTGCAGACCAGGCCAAGGAACCCCACCGCACCCGGCCTCTAGTTATTAATGTGAACTAGCTAGTCATGATGGTAACAATCCCATATTATGGATGAGTAAACTGAGGCTTAGACACCAGGTCAGGAGAGACTTTCCAGCATCACGAAATGCCAGAGCCAGAACTCAAACACTGTTCTTTGCACGTGGAAGCCAGTCCTCCCGCGGCGGTGGTGCCTGGCCAGGGCCTGGTGCTCTTGCTGGGGAGGGTACCGAACTCCAGGGTGGGCTGCAGGGCGGGCGGCCCATTCTCACAGGGTGGTTTTATTCACTTGCAGCAAGTAGGAGAGAGAGGAGATTGTATCTGGAGCTCTGCCTCCGCGTCTATACACTACTTGGTCATGCTTGATTTCTTCTTTGCAGTTGGCTACTTTTATGTTTTTGAAGTTGAGTTCCTGTCAAACTCATCCAGTTTACAGCTGTCCTGCAGACTACTGTGCGACATGTTAACATGCAGCAAGACTAGGACTCAGTAAGCGTAGCCCAGACCTTGAGATCCTGTCCTAAGAGGGGCCTCTGGCTTTTCAAATCCTCTTTTCTGAGGTTCCAGGGAGGCTCTGGTTCCCTTGGTGCTCAGGCAGTGCTGTATGCTCAGAGACAAAGGAGAAAAGGCTGTTGGGGGTTTTCCTTCTTCCTGATGAGTCCAGCCAAAGGAGACACCCCCTCCGCCGCCCCGCGCCGCCCCCCTCACTCGGGCCCCCAGGGCTGGCTGTGGTCACAGCTAGGCGTGCCCAGCCATGGTTCTAAACGTGCCCACCTCTGGAACCTGCTGCCCGACAGCTAACGATAAAGTGTTCCAGGGACCCCAGCCACCCCAGGGTGCAGTGTGAGACTGTCTGTCCTCCTTCCGCCTGCACGCCAGGCTCTGCAGCCTGGCCTGGTCCGCCTGGCGTGGATGGGGAGGGCTGGGGGAGAGGGCGGGGGTGAGAGCGGAGTCATCTGTGTCTGGGGCCGCCCTGCCTCAGCGGGAGGGTCAATGTGTAGCAGCGTTTCAGCCGCCCTGAGCCAGCTGACTGTGCCTGTAGAGCAGTGGTTCTCAGCCTTGGCTGCACATGAGAATCACCTGGGAATCTTTTTTTTTTTTTTAATATATTTTATTGACTTTTTACAGAGAGGAAGGGAAAGGGAGAGAGAGTTAGAATCATCGATGAGAGAGAAACATCGACCAGCTGCCTCCTGCACACTCCCTAGATTCTCATGTGCAGCCACGGTGGAGAACCACTGCTGTAGAGAGATGTGAACACAGGCTGAGAAGTCAGTGGCTCTTGGCTCCCGGGCTGGTGGCCCCCTCTGGCAGCGCTGGCTGCTGAGCTTCCTGCCCAGCTCGGTGAGGGAAGGGGCTGAGCAGCTGTGCTCTAGGCGGCCCAGTACAGAGGCTCTAGCTCACCCTCTAGCCTGTTGGTGGGTGTGGACACACGGCTCTTCTGTTTCACGAACGAGGACACTGACGCCCAGGGCCCCTTGGAGGGAGAAGAGTTAGGGTCTGGTCCTTATGAAGTGGCTGGAGGGTGCCAGGCCCTGTGCTAGGTGTCAGGGACGCATGGGGCTGGCGTCTCGAGGACAGCAGGCAGCAACCACCACCACCCCCCCCCCCCCCCG